TATGGAGAACTGGAAGCTCTATCAGGAGGAGAAGGTTGGGCCCAACTGAGATGAGTGTTGAAAGAAACATCCAAGTGGACAAGATATTGGGTAGATATAAGGATTGACTTCTCCAATTTGATTAACCAAACTACACAAGCTGCCTCCAGGAGCAGTAGATGATTGTGATTGGTGGACTCCTGTTTGGAATGAGCTAACAGAAGCCAGTAATTCATATAATGCTGTAAATGCAACCGCTGAGCATGCAAATATCGGGCAAAAGCCTTGATCACCTGAAAAAAGATATACAGTGCCGAAACAAGCCCAAGGGGCAGGGTGCAAAATTGATAAATTACCCTGTGATGAACAAACCAAAGATAGCACCTTGACAGATGAGATATTGGAATATGTAGGTAAGCATTAGCGACATCTACCTTTGTCTTCCACAAACCCAGAGAAAAAGCACACCTGAGGGTGAGAAAAGACTATGGTAAATTGGGGTAGAACCAAAAATTGATTGAAGCAGGACTACTTCATCACAGACTGCCAGTCCTCGGTTTTCTTGGGTACCACAAACAGCCTGTAATAAAAAAGCTAGCGAAGGGTGAGTGACAGGTTCAATGGCATTTTGGGAGAGAAGATCTTACCCTGCTTCAGACAGACACTGACTGGTGTTAGGATCCTGAGGCAATGGACAGGGTATGGGTACCTGAGACGATGGAGGAGGGGAAGGAAGTGGATGACAAATCACTCGGATAATACCTGAATAGCCAACAGATCTTTGACGAAAATTCGCCAAAGGGGAACAAAATCGGTCAAGCGAGCCTCCACTGGACTGTAACCCAGCAGGTAATCACTGGTATTGTTGGCAACATGTCCATCTGCATCGAATAATACAAACAACAGGAGGAATCCCTGGAGGTAGTAGCAGGTAAGGAGTGGGACAGGAAATAGTAATAAGGGCTTATGTAGGCTCTGAGGGAGACAAATGATCCACAGGTTCAGCATGTTCAGGAGGAATAGGGGCAACATCAGGAGAAGCAGGTTGACTCATATAATGATCAATCTCACCACGTATGAGAGCTGATAAGTCCACAGATGAGTTACTCCTACCTGTCGCCTACTTATATTTTGGAATTCATTGTGTAACAATGAATAATAAAAAACAAGGTGCAATGAAAAAATAACAACAAACAAACCCACTTTGGAATTAATATAAAAAAATGCAAGATGTTGATCAAAAAGACATGATTGAAGGGCACAACAAAAAAAGAAAAAACTGTCTTGACATGAGTACTGCCAAAACTCAAAGTGATAGTTTGGTAGAATAGAATAGAATAGTCGTCACATGCATCAGGAGAATGTGTCGCACTCCTATTGGTGGAGGCTTGTTGTATGCAGATTTACCTAAGAGATGCAGTTGAACCATTTGATTGTAAGGAATGTGGGAGCTCAAGGCTTGTGGCATGGGAATAATTATTTTGCTTATAGAGGGCAGCACTGAACGAGAATAGCTATTTAAGTGAATGGAGATAATGTACCATATTGAAATGTGGTGTATTCAGGTAAAACTTTGAAGAAATGGGATAGGTCCACTTGAGAATAGGAATTTCAACAAGATATTTATTACAAAGTAATTCTGAGTCCTTTGACTTTGACTGAAGTTGAGAAAGAAACTGGACACACAGTAATGCATAAAATAAATAATCTTTATTAATTCACAGAGTATGTATACTTGCTATTGTTGAACAAGGGATGTTCACTTTTATTGGATGTTGTATCTTCAACTAAACAAGCCAAATGCATCTACCAGTCTAATCGAGTTCAATGTTTATTACATTGCAGGTAGCATTACGATTACCCAGAATGACTTAAGCTATATACATGACTGGATATTCTCAATGAAGCATGGAGGAGGCCATAACCTCAAGATATCATCTGAACTACCATTGATGGACACTACTGTTGTCTATTATCTACATTCTTGTGCAATGTACAGCATTATAGCAATATCTCCCATGGAGAGAACAGGTATCATTCCCTGAAAATAAAAGAGGGACAAAGACAGCTATAACAAAATGAACTTAATGACTTTCTGGACCATTATGTGTGAAACCTGCACATATTCAAAATAAATGATAAGTTCAAAATAATACTATATTAAAATAGGAAAGTAGAAATGCATGGTATATTTATATACCACAAAATTTCCAAAAGAAAATCTCTAACAGCATACAAGAAAGGTTGTCTGAGTGACAAGTGAATAGACAAGCTTCTAAAGTTTGCTCCAAATAATATTAGCTTTTACTGAAATGTGTATTAAAGCAAATGTTTTATTTTTTAATGATATAAAATTATTTTTCTCAACAATGTCTTAACAGGAGTTAAAGCCTAGAAAGTTTACATTCACAAATACAAGACTTTATATACATATATATTTTTATGACTTTTATTTTAGAAAACACATGATCATTTATAGCGTTAATAAAATATAAGTTTTCAAAAAGTAAAGAAAGGAATTAACCTCATCTTTCTGACTATCTCTAGACACAGACAAAATTAAATTTTTTGGTAAGGATGTTGTTCCAATGATTGCTTCATCATGATTTGACAATCCTAAGGTCTCTGCAATGCTTCGAGCTGTTGATTTGTTGGCTGTTGCTGTTAAACCAAGAATACATTTGACCCCAAGCTTTTGTGTCAATATCTGTTACATAAACAAAATTAAGAATTAGATGCAACATAAATTATGTTTTTCAGAACCTCGATTATGTCAGATTAATTAATTATTTTTAATATTACCAAAGACATTTCAGTTGTTGCCAAAACAGAATGAAACAAAAGACTTAACACTTTGCAGACTTACCAACAATTAAATTTTAAAATGTTAAAATACCATTAAATGAAAACATTTCATTCACTAATTTTTGCCTTTTTGAAATAAAATCTTAAAACAGGCATCGCCTAGTGGGCCATTTCAAAATAAATTTCAAATGAGAGTAGAAATTTTTATTTCAATGTTTGCAAAACAACTATTTCGAATGATTTTATCTCTCCTCAAAGAAGAATCTACTTCAGAAAGTGAAAG